TTCATTTTTGATTAGTAATATGCATTGCTAAGAACTTCATTTGGACAACTTTAAAGATGATTTTCTCAATATTTAGATTTATTCACACCCTCAGATTCCAGATTTTCAAATAGTTGTATCTCGGCCAAATATTGTCCTATCCTAACAAACCATACATCAATGGAAAGATTACTTATATTTTATTTATTTGATGTATAAATCTTGTATGAATTGACTGGTTTTGTGGTCCTGGGTCACATATGTTTTCCATACTAGGGTTCATGAGTTGATGAAAAGAAATTTATTAAATCATAATTTTTTTTAACTTTTAAATAAATAAATGTAAAATGAAATAAAAATACAACACTTACCAAAAAAAAAAAAAGATTTAAGAATATTATTAAAAGAATATTTAAAAATATTATAAAAAGTATATTTAATGAAATGACATAATGTGCGCAAAGAGTTTTTGAAAACCCTAAACTTTACACAAATAAATATCGGATTGCTTTTGGTTTTAAGCATCTTTTACATGAACATTTTTTTTTCTTTAAATAAAAAATAAAAAAAATTTAAAATGTATTACAATTTATTTTAATTTATATATTTATTTTATTTTAATACATTATATTTATTGTAAATAAATGACAAAAAAACAAAATATAACAAAATAATAATTCAATATTTAATCATATTAAAGTGTATATTGTATAATATATTCAAAGTATATCGTTTAATAATATTTAAAAGCATTACCGAAATTACAGCATGTATGCAATCTTAAAACAAAATGTAACAATTACTTAAAAAAAGATTTAAGAATATTTTAGAAGAATATTTAAAAATAATATAATAAATATATTTAATAAAAAGAAAAAAATGGTAAAGAATGACCTTGTTTACCTGCATGTGACAATTAATCAACATGAGAGAACGGTGAACATGCAAATGTGTTGTTAAATAATTGAAATAATAACTCATAGAAAATATTTTAGGTCAAAGGGGTTTAGCTGACAAAAATGCTTGGGAATCACTGATGATCCCATCTTTAGTATCCATTAAACTGCTGATTAACCTTCTTCATCTGAAAACACTTAAATCTCATTTGTGCGTGTGCATATTCGAACCTAGAGCGTAAAGAGAGCGTCTCAACCTGATGCATCATATCTGAATATACTCAAAATAGAAAATCCGAACCCGAAAGGTTCTGAGCTATCATGATATGATCAAGTGCAACAGCTTTATTTTTTACACCCAAAAGCAACCCAAATGACTGCAGACCACAGGAAAAAAACAAGAGGTGGAACGTACTGGGTATGAGAGCCACTGGCCGAACTTTCAGCGAGGAGCCGATGACGATGAGAAGATCCACCTCATCTTTATCCTGCTTCATGGCTCGGTGGAAAAATTCTGGAAGGTTCTCGCCAAAGAATGTTAACTGATGGACTGGAGGTGGGTGGATTACTTGTGGATTATTGTGATGTTTTTATCAGCTGTTTGGACTCTCATTCTGACGGCACCCATTCACTGCAGAGCATCCATTGCTGAGACACTGATGCAGTGCTACATTTCTCCAAATCTGATGAAGAAACAAACTCACCTACATCTTGGATGATCTGAACGTGATCACATTTTCAGCAAAGTTTCATTTTTGGGTGAACTATTCCTTTAAATTTTCATACTCAAGCATACCTGGTTGAATATATCCTCCCTTATGGCTTCACAGTCAACCTTATGTTTACAGACAAGACAGGAAGCAGTCGCAAAGGAACCTAAAATAATTAGTAAAAGACAGAGGATAATAAAAGAGTCTAGATACTGACAGAATAATGAACATCTAGGTTTAAATGAGGAATCAGGGGCAGATATACCATGACACTGAATGATCTTCTGGATTCCAGCCGCTTGCTCCAGTGTGTCGATATTCTGAGTGTAGTTCCTCAGTAGCCTTCCCTTCTTATCCAGCATTGATATGAACCTGTGACATGGAGACGGCTGGAACTGTCCTGGGTAGATTTCCTACAGTATAAGCAAACAGAGAATATTGTTATTTATGCAATTTTTATACATAAATGTATGCAAATGCATAAATGTAAATGCAAACCTTTATGACAAGACAACTGCTGAATAGGGTAAATATTTTAACAATTGTTTAAGACAATTGTTTTCTACTACAAGTTTTCTGAAATGTTACGTTTTGATACGCAAACAGTGCATTATATAATTAAATATCCAATAATTTGCCTACATTTAACAGAAAATAAATCTGAACTTCTTGTTTGATTTTGTTGACATATGTGACCCTGGACCACAAAACCACTCATAAGGGTTAATTTTTTGAAATTGATATTTATACGTCATCTGAAAGCTGAATA